GGGAGCAGCCACTGCACTCCAGTCTGGGCCACAGAGTGAGACTCCAACTCAAAAAAAAACAAAGAAAAGAAAATGGCAGAACCAGGACTTGAACTTGGGTCGATGTAGATGCAGAGCTGAGCTCTGAGCCGCCAGAATGCTGCCTCTGCTTATTACTAATAACTGAACTTTGGACAGATGTTGCACGAGTGATTGTGACATTCCAGCAAGTTTTGATTTGGCTGAAAACCGCTGGCCTAAAACTTTGTGCTCCCTTCTGGCTCTGAAGACCCGTGAGCCAGCAGGCCACCCTGGAAGCTGTCACTGTGTGTTGACTGTTGACAAGTGTACCTGAGTGGTAAATAGTAATCGCTTATTGAGCACTTAGGTGCCGTGGTCCACGCCAAAATCAGCCCCTTAATTTTCACAAGCCATTTTTATGGGTACAGCCTTTATCATGCCAGTGTTACCGCTGGGAAAATAGGGTGCAAGGGGTGCGGGATGTGTCCAAGGTGACACCACTGGTACATGGCAGCCAGAGCCCCCTGCTCTTCCCACACCTGTGCTTTGCTTTCCTGGCATGTTCCAGGCCCTGAACACAGCAGGCTGAGGCACAGCTGGCTTCTTCCCTCCCCCCAGTTGTACAGAATTGTCCTCTTCCAGCCATGGTAGGTGCTGGGAGGCAAGGAGCAGGGTGCATGCCAAGGGAACGGGCTGGTTCTGGGGCTCTGGAGGGCTTCCTGGAGGTGGTATCTTGAGCTGAGTGCAGAGCCAGAGTAGGGCATAGGAGAAAGCGCACAGTGAAGAGCAACATGCCGATGGCCTGGTGGCTGGCTGTCACTTGGTCCATGTGGGAGTCCTGTGCGGCTATGCCAGGCCCTGTTACTGGCGCTGGGGACAGTTCTTGTGGGGCTGCCACCCGAGTGCAGAGACTGATAATGAACGAGATACCTCTGTAGCGTGCTTGACAGAACTAAGAGCTGGAGAGAAACCACCGAGCCGGGTTCAGAGGCCAGGAGGTATCTACAGAGGGATTTGGCATTGTCACAGCACGGCCAGGAAGGCCTCCTGAGGTGACGGTGAGCAGAGATCCCAGGGAGGCGCCGGAGCCCGTGTGCACAGCAGGGCCAGAGCTCCGGGCAGGGCCTGTTTCAGGAAGCTGGAGGCCAGCAGAGGGGGCAGAGGTCAGAAAGCTGACAGAGCAGGGGCAGGCCCTGTGTGACATGGTTCACCTTGGCTCGTACCCGAGAAGGAAAACCCCTGGAGGACTTGGGGCAGAGGAAGGGCCAGATCTGGAGTGGCTGGGACAGGCCCTCCCTGGCTGCTGTGTGGAGAAGGGATTGCGGCGGGCAGGCACAGCATGAGGCTGGCGAGAGACGAGGTGACAGCGACTTGGGGACAGTGGCTGGGGCAAGAGGGGGTCCTGGACCCAGGCGGAGGTATAGCCCAGCAGGAGTCTCACCCTGTCGCCCAGACTGAGTGCAGTGGCCACTCCTGACCACCGCAGCCTCGACCTGATGGGCTCCGGCGATCCTTCCACCTCAGCCTTCCGAGTAGCTGGAATTACAGGCATGTGCTACCGTGCCCGGCTGATTTTTGATTTATTGTAGAGATGAGGTCTCGCCAAGTTGCCCAGGCGGGTCTCGAACCCACAGGCTCAGGCAATCCACTCACCTCAGCCTCCTAAAGCGCAGGATTATAGGCTGAGCCACCAAGCCCGGCTTGCCGTGCTTTCTAGAGATGCCTTCTGTGCGGTGAGGAAGTAGTGTTTTGGATGAGTCTAGGCCAAGTCAGAAATCCGAGAGCCTGCAACTGGGTGAGATCACACGGGTGTGACCACGTTTTTCAGCAGAGGGCTCAAGGGATGCACTGAGACCACAAGTGGCCGGGGGGTGGGAGGACAGCCAGCAGTGCGTGGTGGCCTGGAAGCAAAGGAAATGTTTCTAGGAGCAGGAAGCGATCGGTGGTGTCAGAGGCTCCTTTAGGCCAAGGAAGGTGAGGCCCAGGAGCTGACCAGGGATCTAGCATCAGAGAGGTCATCGTGGCCCAGAGATGTGGCCTGACCAGAGGCTTGGGCCAAAGACACTGCCAGACGGCCTGCGCAACCCCTTGCTTGTCCAAGCAGATCGCCTGCCCGGGGGCCGCACCCCTCCCCAGCCGCTCACGGCATCCCGCTCTCCCTTTCCTCCCCACGCCCCCAGACCCATGCTGGCCGGGCGAGTCAGGGCTCTCCCGTCAGCCGGGCCCCCCCCAGGAGGCCGCC